GCCTGGAGAGCAAGCACTCCGAGAGCGCTGACGGTGCGTGAGCATGCCCACCTCTCCCACCAGCTCTGCTGCTTCCTGCACCCATAACCGCCCACGGACCGTTTGGAGCCCCCCTCCTGGATTTGGCACCTGCTCTCCTTCTGCGGGGACTGCTGCGGGCCGCAGAGGTCTAGCTGTGGAAGCCGCACCTGGGACCATTCCTTGTAACTTGCGGCAGGATCTCTCACGGCTGGCAGTGGAAACCGCTATGGGGAATGGGAACTGCTCAGTGGCACCCCTTCACTTGGTGCCCACATCTTAGAGACCCATCGGGCATCTCTCATAATCCATGTGGGAGACTCGCTCTCCCAGCCCTCGCCTGGGAGCACTGGGCAGCTTTCACCACCGCCCATTCCGCTGAACCCTCCTGCTCCCCCCGGCTCAGCAAGGCTCCGAATGTGTCGGTTTCTGTCGCAGAGGGGTCGGGACCTGATGCCCTACCTCCTCCAGGGCTGGGTTTCTGCTTTCAAGTGTGGCTGTTAGGATTTCACTTCCACCAGTGGGGAAACAGGGTTTATGGGCTAGCCTCTGTACCTAACGTAGGGTTAGCTATATATCGTGTGTGTGTGTGTGTGTGTGTGTGTGTGTAAAGGTTGATTGTCAACTTTTCCATTTTCATAAATTGGAAAGCATTTCTACTTTACTGCCAGTTATTTTCTTTCTGCTTCTTTAAAAACAAATTGTTGGCCAAACTGTTTACCTCTAATCCAAAAACCTATCTTTCCTAAACAACTGACTGAAGTTTTTAAGGGACATTTAGGTTAGCTACACACATACACACACACACCCCAAACTCATGCTGACCCATAACAATCCCCTGTGGGTTTCTGAGACTGCAGCACTTAACAGGAATAGGAAGCTCAGTCTTGGAGTTGCTGGTGGTTTCGAACTGCCAACCATGTGGATCACAGCCCAATGCATAACCACTATACTACAAGGGCTCCCTAAGTTATTTAAAGGTGATCTCAGAGTAGCTGGTGGGTTTGAACTGTTGACCATGTAATTAGCAACCTAATGTGAAACCCACTACCCAACCAGGGCTCCCACGGGTGCCCTAAACTCCTAAAACAGCTGACACGCTCATTAAATAAGAGAGAGTGTGTGACCGGAAAACGCCTGGTCCAATTGTTCTGGAAGTAATTTGTGATGTCTACAGGTTGAGAGCACTTCAGATGAACACCCATCCCCCAATGGGACTAGCAATGTAATTTTTTTTTAAAAATGAGTCAAAACATTTGAAGAAAAATAAGCAAATGAAAGTGATAAAAATCAAAGATAGCATATGGTTGATATGTATATCTTCAAAGGTAACATTTATTCAACTCATTTAAAATACCATTGAAGTGAGATAGCACTCTAAATATTTTATCACCGAGATGCAATAAGGCGTCCCATACATATATCATCTCATTTCGATTTCATTAGTGATCAAATGTGCTAGTTAAAGGGGCTGAAATCTCACCATAAACCAGAATATAATTTGTGAGATTACAGCAAAGCAGGCCAATAGTATTTTATGTGCAACTTTACAAAAAATGCACTTGGATAATAAGGATGTAGGCTTGAATAAAAGCATTCTCACTTATTGTGGTTAATGCAGAAACCACATAGGACCGAGGCCTGGCACTGGAAACCTTTGAACACTACATCTATAAAATTCTGTTGTCTTTTTAAATTTTCAGTAACATTTCTTTTTGCTATATATATCGCATTTTTCCAAAATATGAAAATGTTCTTTTTATTTTAAATGTTGACTACATGTGAAAAATTAACTCTGGTTATATTACTTCAAACTATCCCGTTATTGGCAACAGTTGTGCAAGGCTGTCAAGAAGAATTCTGAAACAAAAGTACCAAATTTGGAGAGCAGAGACATCTGTTTTACTTCGCAGTGGGTTTTATTGCTTTATTTCTGAGACTATGAATTCACAACTATCTTATAACTGAAAGCTAAAGAAAAAACACATGTTGGTAAATCTGATTTATGCAGGGTTTTGTTTTGTGTTTTTTTCTTTTTTGGGCAAGGGAAGTTGCCTCTCTCAGCTCTCTGCCAATACCTAATAAATGGGCTTGGCAAAAGTTTATTTAACTTGGCTTCATTGAGCCGGCAAGATGTAGAAATCAAGCAAGGGACAGGCCGAAAAATCTGTTCCTTTGAAGTCAATAAAAATCCATCTCCTTAATCCCCTTTTTATTCTAAGCGGTGGTGATTTTTCTCAACTGATTCATTGAGAACCTTGATTTAGCTAGCCCATCCTGCATGATTATCTTTTTTCTCCAACACTTTCTCCCCTTGACAACCTCCATCTTTTATACTTGCATGGTTGTGCATCTGGTCATAAACAGGTTCTAGTTAATCCTCATAGAAAACCAGGGTTTCAGTTACTCTCCACATGTGAATGAATGAGAAGAGTGGCCAGGAGCAAGAGGGCACACAGTTACAATCAACAGCTAAGATGGCTCAGCTTTCATTCTGCAGCATTTCCTAAGCTATCTCCATTGAGCCTCCATCAAAGCTTTCTATGACTGGGCCTCACCTGCCCACACAGATGCAAATTCACACTCCAGTATCCAAAGCCCTTTCCACATCCCCAACCTACCAGCTAAAGGGCTATGAGTCATGTGGAAACAGACAGTAAGTTAAGAAAGAAGAAATTGCTATGTAATCATAGAAACCTTTATTAAACAAAAACATCAAAATAGGAAGCTATCATTTATCAACATAGCCTCCATCTAAGTCTATGTACTTCTGAAGGGGGTGTCTCCATCTCTCTGCACCCTTCCGAAAGATCTCTGCACTCTTTGATTTATATCGCTTCAAGACGGCAATTTTGCTAACCTCAAGGAACACAGATCGTGTTTCTTTTCACTATATATTTTTTTAAGTTGGGGAGGGCAGAGGTGAGGAGAAGTCTGAAAGGGCAAGATTGGGGCTGCAGGGTAGACAGAGGACGGTTTCCCAGTGCAATTCTTGTAGGCCAACCTTTGATCCTCTGCAAGAATAAGGACACGCATTGTCTCCATGAGAAACCAATTCCTCTGCGTAACTTTCCTGCTCTTTTCCCAGCACTGCAGCTTTCCACTTTCTTAAATCTTTTTAAATAAAGACTGAAAAAGACTCTGGATAACCAGGGTAACAGAATGCTTTCAAAAGAGCAAAGTCAGAGACCACTCACTCCCTGATTTCAACACCTACTATACAGCCAAGAGTTGTTAGTTAGCACAACAGCTTGGCATTGGCACAGCAATAGAAATGTAGACCAACGGATTAGAACCGAGAACGCAGAAATAAAGCAAAGCGCCTACAGACGCTTGCTTTTTAATAAAGGATGAAACACATTAAGTGGAGAAGAGATGGCCTTTTCAATTAATGGTGCTGGAAAAATTGGATCTCCAGCTGCAAAAGAATGAAACAGACCCCTCCCCTCACCCCATCAGCAAAAAAACGAACTCCAGGCAGAGTAAAGACCGTTATAAACTCTAACACTATAAAGACCGTCAATGAAAAAATAGGGGCAAACTTAAGGAGTGTTAATACAAAACATATATACATTACTCAACATCATGAAAACACCCGCATATGGAAGACAAAGTAAAGAACTGGAGCCCTCTAAACATTCTCCATTTCTGTATATTGAAAACCTTCATCGAAAGAATAAACAGAGAACCTATAGATGGAAAAAATATTCAACAATGACGATCAGATAAATGGCTAATTTCAAAAATCAATAGAAACCTACATCTTAATAAGAAAAAAAAAATACACCCCCCTCTCCAAAATGGGCCTAAGATAGGACTAGACAATTTACTAGAGATGACATTCATGTAGCCAACAACCTGAATATGCAGAAATGCTTGTGTTTATTAACAATAAGAGGAATGTAAATTAAAGCAACAATGAGATACCATCTCACGCCAACACCCTTACAAAATGAACATTACGCTTAGCAAAGTTAGTCAATCTCATAAATGTTTTATGACACCACTATTAAAAAAGAAAAAGAGATGGTGCTCACACCAAAGGACTACCAGGAGGCCAGGAGGGGTGGGGGCGGGGCAGGGGTGGGGGTGGGGAGAGTGGAGGGAAAAGGCCGGAAAGTAAGGGGGTGAGAAGATGAAAAAAAAAAAAAGAACCGCATATATGGGACGGGGTTGGGGAGTGAAGGGTTAACAGGATACTAAGACCGATTTGATGAGATGGGCTGTGAAACTACATAGAAGATTTTTTTCTTTGTATGTATTAATTCAAAAACAAAAAGGAAATATATACATAGATTTATTTATAAAGTTACACTTTTAAAAGAGAGAGAGAAGGGTCAGTCTCTAATTCCTTACCTATTAGATCTAAACATTGGTTTGAGTGGCTATGAAAGGCGGAAAAGTAAAACTGGAAAAGATTTGGATTCTTTTGTGACATACAAATTGGTTTTAAACAAACAAAACAAATAAGTGAATCCCTGTAATCATCCTCTTTGGGAAAAAAAAAATCTCTCAAGAGTGCCCTTCTGAAATCCCCTTAAGCAGTCTCCATAGCCTTCAGAGCGGACCTCTCTGCCTTGAACTTAACCGGACCTCTCTGCCTTGAACTTAACCGACCTAGCAGCCCTCTCAGAAGCCATCGTTTCGATTGGACTTTTGGTTTGAAGGCACCTTAAGGAAACTAGGTCCAGTGCTCGGCGTACACCTGAGAGGACTGGTCTGACGGCACCCACAGTTCCATTGGAACGAGAACCTGGCAGCAACACTTTGACTCCTGCGCTTGAAGGTTTCATAATTTGGAAGGGCATCCTCTTGCTAGAGCAAAAAATCACATACTTGTATGCAAATAACATGCATATTAACTCCTGGGCATCATTACTTCCCTAGGAACCCATTATTGACAAGGACAAGCTCATCACTCTCAGACATTCAAAATTCACCATCTTTCGGTTGCACGTAGTATGAGAAAAATGATTCCTTACCTAAACTAAAGAGCACCAAGAATTTCAGACACACAAACTCCCGTTGATCAAACTGCAGCGATCGAAGCTTCGCCACTAGCTCCTGTGCGTGACTCATGAGGTTGCTGAGCGTGGCCCCGGCTTGTGATGCGATTATGGAATAGTCCACCTGCAACACAGAAGCACAGTCCTCATGAGGGCCAGGATCAGAAACGCATCTCACTTGGGGTGGTTTGTGGACAAAGCCCGATTCTAGGAAAAGCCCCGAGTGGATCACAGAAGTGGAGGCAGCATATCCTATCAGAAAATAGATCACTATTATTCTGCTGGATGATCTATTCCATGTAAACAACAGGTATAGACCAAGTTAATAAATGTATAGGGGATACATAACACTTTTCCATCATGGATTTATATTATTATATATGATTCAACGTCTCAGCCCTCATGAATAACTTTAAATTAAAAGTATGCCCCCATCAAAAAAAAACTACATCAAACAAAATAGCACAATAAAAAAACCGAAAACAAATCAAAGAAAACCCCAAACTCCTGCCTTTGAGTGGATGCTGATGCGTAGCTACTGTACAGGAAAGGGTAGAACTACCCTGTGAGGTTCCAAGTCTGAAACTCTGCGGGGGAAGAGAAGGCCTCTTCTCCCACGTTAGAGCTGGTGGTTTGGAAGTGTCATCCTTGCCGTTAGCAGCCCCACCACGCGTCACTACTATACCACCAGCGTTCCACAGACAAGACGTGAAATATCGAGTCAACTCTCACTCGTGGGTCGAGTTCTCAGTGACTGATTTTTCTGGAAGCAGATCGCCAGGCCTGTCTTCTCTGGTGCCTCCGAGTGGAGTTGAACCCCCAACCTTTTCACTTACAGCCAGGTGTGTTAACCCAGGAACTCCAAAGGAAAGTACCCTGTCCATAAAAAGCCAACCCAGGACAGTGTGGGTGTGCACGCTGACATTAACGGTGACACGAGAAGGAAGGCCCACGGCTATGTTCTTTTTGGACCACTGGGCTACACTGTCAAACATTCATGATTCAAAAATGCACGGTTGGGGGTGACCAAACCATCGCCTTTCCGGGTTCAATTTGCTGCTTCCTACAGAACCACATATAAACGATTCTTGTTACGTTTGTTGCTTCCTAAAAAGCCGTGGAATAAGACATCTATTCATGTGCTGATTAATACATTTCTCTAGAAAGACAGCAAGGATCCCAACTTAGAAGAACTAAAGGTCCTTGTTCTGGTAAACAAAACAAACACTTTCTCCTGCATGAAAAGCAAGCAAGCAAGCAATCCCAGAGGCACCGATCTCGGATGGCTCCTGGAGATTTGAGTTCAATTTATAATCCCTAAGTTAAGACATCGGGATGGCTGTCAGCGACGGTACTGGCTTTACTGCTACGATGACTGCATAATGGGAAAGCCCAGTTGGTGCCTGATGCTCCCACCCGTCTTCTTCTACTGGTGAGCGCTCAGGCAAGCAGGTCCTCTTTTAGGTGCATTTAATATTTGCTGCAGCAGCAAATTTGTCTGGGAGGCAAGTCCTCATCTGCCACTCACCCGGAGCAGACTGTATTAAATTTTTATATTTATTGACATTTCATTACCATAATTGACTGCACTTGCTTCTCTAGTAGGAGGCACAGGGCTGCCTCCTAAGCAGGCGAACTAGTCCCTTGAGGAGAATTTGCAATTAAAAACAAGGCAGAATGGATTTTTTTATTGTGTAAATATGATGAGTTGAATTTTCAGCTTTAACTAGAGAATACGGGGTGTACAGAAACCTTTTTCAAGAGGGAGGAAAATTATGAGTCAGTGGAAAGCCCACCCCCAGAGGTGTCAATCAGCTTCTGTCTAGCCAACTGGGCATGAAAAAGCCGCGGTTAGCATGTGTTCGAAGACAGCTCTCACACGTCCTGCCTGCATTGTCCCTGCACAGGTAACTGTCCCCTAAGTCTAAACATCCAGTGTCCAATGAGCTGTTTGGGGTTCTGTTGCCGACTGCTTACAGGCAGCTGGAAACCTGAGCTGTAAGCAGAGTGGACAAGCAGTTGAACGCCCAGGGTCACCTGAAGATGGTCAAGCATATAAGGAGGTGTTGCAACAATCATGTCACCACTTCTCTTAGAGGTGAGTCACAGGGTGGGACACATTCTTCTAACTGGAAGGCTGGAGGGTCGAGTCTACCCACAGATACCTCGGAAGACTGGCTTGGTGATCCACTTCCAATAAACCAACCACCCACGTCCTGTAGTCTTCTGGACCGCAAGCAACCAGTTCCCACCGGTTCCTCCTCTAAAGACGGTTTTGGTTGTTTTTTTACATGCAAGTGGTGCCTGGGTTCTACATGCCTTAAACACTATTCGGGGCCTAACTGTTCTAGGAAATCATCATATATTCAGAGAGGAATAGAATTGATAAAGGAACCAAGAATGGCCCCCGAGACGGCTTGGAATGGACTGCCTGGAACAAGACTAGTGATCTGGGCCAATTCTGCCTCTTAGGAATGATGGGCCTGGGCAAGTCACGGAAAATCTCCACCCTTTACGTAGCCCATCTGGAAAGAAGGTAGTTGGGTTAGACCAGGAGTATCAAACTGCCCCCGAGGCAATTTTTTGTGGCCCGCGATGCTCTGAAATAAAATGAAAAAGAAAAAACTGTTATGAAGGAAAAAGCACTTAGGGGAGGGGAGATCGAGGCAATAACGTACTCACAATTCCCTCATTAACCCTTTAACTACTGAAGACAAGTCTACACGTGGCCCAGTGCCTTTCCGGGGGGCCTGTGGACGTGTCTAACTGCGCTGACTCAGTTCCGACGATGTTGGGAAGCGATATGTCTGTCACTCTCAGTGTCACGTCATGTCCGCAGATCCCAATAGAGAAAAGGTTAGAAAGAGCACTCTGGGTTGTCCTGTTATGGATCATACCTAGCGGCAGCGCAAGTTAACATTTTCAGAGGGAAGCCATTACAACTGTGTATCATATTTGTCAGCATTTTGTGTTTTTTCTTAGTACTTGGTTATGTTTTCTGGTCACAACATAAGGGGTGAGTGAGAACTAGGAGGAAAGTGCTGGCAAGTTTCGGGTAAAAAAGAATAATTTTAGCTTCATAAATACATCAAATAAAATAAATGTTTAAATAAAAGCACTTATATGGTGTTTTAATTATCCTATCCATATTCCTGAATCCTCACTTCAAAATATAAATTTAACAGAATTTGTAAATGTGATGTGTCCCGCGTGAATCTTGCCTGTTGCACCAAATGGCCCGTGTTTTAATTGAGTTTGACACCCCTGGGTTAAAGGAGCATGAACTGTCGCCCACATTTACGATTGTTAAGAAAGAACAGTAGTTGGGAAGGAATGCTGATTTTAAATTCCCAGCTGATTGCTGAATGCATTCGTGCATGTACATCCCAGTCTCACAGAGCCGGTTCTGATCCGCGGTCATCCCGTGTGTATCAGAGCATAACTACTCCATAGTGATTTCTTGGTTGTCACGTTCATGGAAGCAGACCACCAGGCTTTTCTTACGCGGGGTTGCCAACCCTCTAGTTGAATGCAAATCCTTTGTGCTACCCTGGGACTTAGGACATCTTAATTTTTAAAAAAAAGGAAAGAAAAAATAAGTCACTAGCTAAACCTCAAGTTAATGTTGGAAGACCATCCTAAAAACACACACACATGTGCTATCAGTGCACTTTGCTATGAGGGTAGGGTTAATTGACCTGTGCACCATTCTAACAGGTAAACAACAGTAAATGCAAATGAGAAAAGCATGGAACAAAATTCAAAATCACATGAAACACCAGGCTTCCTGGTTGCATACACAGGTAGGACCCTGAGAATATAGCCCTTCAGATCTGCAATTGAACTCATCCCCATGGCAGAATAAATCAGCCCTTTAAGAAAGAAAGAGCAGCATTCACCCGGGGGCCAGGGAAGAGGGAGAGAAGGAAACCGGAAGGCCAGGAAGGAATCAGAATAAACAATGGTCCAGCGAAGGGACTGCACTGGATGAGCGGAAATAAAACGTATACAGACTGTTGAATGTAAGACTGGTAATCTTCTCCTGATTCACAGCAAAACGTTTAAATCATAATAAGTGCAAATATCAGACCTTCATATTTCAAGACGGAGTGCATGATAATGGAAAGGAATCTAAATGATTTCCTAGGACCCTATAATTACAGACAGATCTTTAGTGAGCTGAACTTCAGGAAATCAATGAGCATACCAACAACTTTATGGCGCTACATTTATTTACGTGTTAATTTGAAAGCGTGAACATGTTTATTAAGGGAGGGGCACCCCTCAGATAACATTTCATTCAAGGATAATTTATCAAATTGCAGGCCTCAGAAGGAGGGTGGGGGATTTATTCCTGAAACAGCACCAGATCTGCGGCTTCCTGAGATTTTATTACAAACATAATTATATTTTCATTGTTGAATGTGGAGCTCGTGTTCATTGCAGGAGCAGCTGGCCTTGTCTTTTATGCACTTAGTAAAATTAATTTAGTGCTCTCTTACATGTAATCTTTGTGCCGTTAAACTCAAGGAAGATAGTGAAGAAATAACTTGAAGTGGATGTCCCCTTTGGATAAGTTTCATTGATTGTGACAGTAGAAACTGCTTTCACTAAATTGGCTTTAGTTCTAATAGCTGAAATTTTGATGACATGTGTAGTGTAAGATGCCTGTCATTTTAATACGATACACAATCATAGGAGATAATGAATAAGTTGCCAGCGGATCTTTCCCTTAGGACGATGTTTCAGTGTCGGTTAATTAGCTACAATATGCAAATACGCAAACCGATCCTGCTTCGAAAGTACTCTGCTGTTTCATTTCATATATACACACATACAGATGTGTGTATGTTTTGAAATTGCGATGTGAAAATAAAATCCAATTGCAATATGCGAAATGGATAGCAATTGTTTTACCAATGCATAATATCGTTGACCACCACTGCTTCTTTTTAGTACTGCAATGCTGAGTTTATTACTAAGGTTCTCTAATGCACGCTTATATAGATGGCAAATGAAAAGACAGAATTAAAATGTAACTGTTTTAGGGTTAAGTAAGAAGTCCGGTGTGAAGACAATGAGCCCTGATACTATTTAATGCTATCTACTAGCGCCCGGGGCTGC